TAAGATAGGAGTAATATGATCTTGTTTTCTTGAAAAAGTAATAAGTCGAGCAGCTGCGTTTTGTACATGTTGCAATTTTTGGAGAGAAGTTTTGGGAAGACCATAAAGTAAAGAATTACAGAAGTCAAGTTTCGAAGATGTGAGGGCATGGACAAGAGTTTCACATGCATTACGACTCGAGTATCTTCTAATTTTCCAAATATTATGAATATGAAAAAAGCAGGTCTTACATACGGAAAGTATCTGATCTTCCAATGACAGAGTCTCAAAGATGATGCCAATGTTACGAGCTGATGTAGATCGAGTAATAGTAGAGTTCGAAATTTCAAGAGATACAATGGGGGTAGAGGACGACGAGGGTTTGATAAGACAAGAATTTCAGTTTTGTCCTTATTAAGTTTCAACTTGTTGCAAGTCAATCATCTATCAATTTCTGAAACACAGGTCTCAATTTGCTGCTTCGCTGTATTGAGCTCAATTGATGAAGATGTAGAAAATGCGAAATAGATTTGTGTGTCATCAGCATATAGATGAAAGTTTGTGTTGCACTTCCGCATAATATCACCAATTGGTGCAGTGTACAAAAGAAATAATATTGGTCCCAGAATAGAGACTTGTGGGACACCACATTCAAGAGGTTGAAGAGAAGATGAGACGCCGTTTACTTTTACTCGAAAGTATCTATCACTAAGGTAGGATTTAAACCACTGAAGGGATCGGATTTTCCAATTACGGCATATCTAGATGAGAGCCTCTCAAGAAGAATGCTATGATCAACGGTATCGAAAGCAGCTGAAAGATCAAGTAATACCAAAATGACTGCAGATTGCCGGTCAATAGGTTGAAGAATGTCATTATAAACTCTCAGAAGGGCTGTTTCAACACTATTGAAATTCTTATAAAATCATCATCTTATAAGCTGATTGGAATTTTTCATGAAGATGATTTTCCTCTAAGTGCTCAACTAGTTGAGTGGCAACCACCTTTTCTACGACTTTAGAGAGAAATTTCAAGTTGGATATTGGTCTGAAGCTGGAAAATTCATCTGGAGGCATCAGATGTTTTTTAAGAACTGGTCTTACTAATGCTTCCTTTAGATGATTTGTCATTGTTGCAGTGCTTAAAGATAAGTTGACAATCTTTGTAATGGATGGAAAGAGTAATTCGATACTACCTTTGAGAATAACCCCAGGGAGAGGATCTAGATCACAGGATTTGCTGAGAAGTGGAAGTATCAGCTTAGACAGATCATCGCATGAAATAGCAGAGAATGCATTCAGATGTCTAGACACTGGTAAAGGTAGATGGTTGTCTACGTAGGTTGGATGTAGAACAAAATCATCTTGRATAGCTTTTATTTTACCAACAAAAAAGTCAGCAAAAGAGTTAGCAAGATGTTTAGCAGTAGGRGCGGCAGGAAAAGRTTGCTCAGGATTTCTGTGTAGCCATTTGTCAAAAGTAGAAAACAAAACTTTCTGATTGGACTTATTATCATTAATGATACTGGAAAAATATTCATTCTTAGATTTCTGAATAAGACGCTTTACAACCCAACATTGCTCAACATATAGATCACGATCAATTGTTAGACGTGAACTTCGCCAGGTTCTCTCAAGTTTACGGCGTTTAATTTTTTCAGATTTTATCACTACCGTGTACCAAGGGGCTGATGGCCTCATTGTTATAATATGTTCTTTGAGAGGAGCATGCGAGTCAAGAATTGACAACAGTTCAGAGTGATATAAGTAAGGCTGTTGATATCATCTGCTGTTGAGGTTACTAAACAGGACCGAGCAATATCACTATTTATTACATCCATTATGAAATCACAAGCAAATCCTGCGATCTGATTGGTTCCCTGCAGCAGTGATTTCAGCATAAATTGCACGATTTTCAGCTCTAAATTGCACGATTTTGCACATCAACTGATATGAACCAACCACAAGAGAGACATGCCATTTTCTAGCCAATTATATCAAGGAATCCATCTGAGTGTTGAGCTCACCGCTTCTCGCGAAAAAAAAGAGCCACGACTCAAAACAAAATTTTCTGAAGAACGATTTTACCGTCAAAAGTCGTAAAAAAGACTGAAAAAGCCATAAAAAGGACTTAAAAAGACCAACTGATCACTTAAAATTGTCAAAAGCATCTTTGTAAAGTAACTGCTTAAGTAAGTTGAAGATGTTACAGCGAAAAGCAGTGGGGGGAAATGCAATCGGCATCTTTTGAATGTGACTTCTTTGCGATTGATCGTGGAAAGTGGTTTCCTTTTCAATCTTTAAAGCATAACAACACATCGAAAATACAGTCATTAAAAGAAGTTTTTCTTAAGAAAAAGATTTTTGCTGAGCTACGTGACTTCTTAAGGACAACCGAAGGACTAAACAACATTTGATTTTTGCTGTTTTCTCGGCACAAGTGTGATCTTAACATGTTGAACAGAAATCGTGAAAATACAAGCAGTGAGCATTGGCTGTATGGACAACAGCCAGTTCATTACAACCCTTTTGGGCAGGATCGTTTTGCTATTTAATGTAAGTAAACGATCCTTAATGCATGTAATGTCTTTTGGTCCTATATAAATTCATTTTAGTTTTGGATTGAAAGTGTTGGTTTTCAAAATGAGAATCATTGCTCGATCAATATAAACAAGTTCTCTTGACAGCATGTTTGAATCGACTGCTTTTAGATTGTAAGTCATATCGGTTTAACTGGAAAAAAATTCTTTTTCAAAAAAGATCTCCAAATGGATACAATAAAGTGGTAATTGAACTTCGTGTCGTGCAATTTTGGTCTGAAATCAAACTTGCAATTACAAATCGCAATTTTGTAATCGCGCGTTTGATTTCAGACCAAATTGCACTCCACTCAGTTCAATTACCATTATTAAATGTGTCATTATCAATTGAATTGATCTTACGGCATTTTGAAACAATTTTTTCAAAAGGTGRTTTTTTAGTAAGCAGTTCACAAGACACAGCCGGATGGTCTGATATAGCAGGATCAGAGATAGAAACTTTATCAATTAATTTGCTATCAGCTCTGGTAATGATAAGGTCAAGTATGTGTTTCTCTTTGTATGTAGGTTGTTTAACATGCTGACACAAATTGAAAAAATTCAAAATGTTTAAGAAATTCAAGAGCATGATAGTTAGTTGGATCTTCAATATGAAAATTGAAATCACCCACAAGAAGAAATGAGGCAGAATTAATAGAAAACTATTCCAGAAACTGAGAAAACTCGTCAAAAAACATTGGAATGGAAAATTTGTTCCGACCTGATGGAGGCGGTCTATATAAAACGAAAATTGAAATGGTAGACGGAGATGAGCTTAAAGACATGCCCATGACCTCAAACGACTTGAATTTAGATATTGAAATTTTATTTAATTTAAGAGATTTTAAAAAAAGTAAACCAACACCACCTCCTCTAGATTTTCTGGGCATGTGGTGAAAAACAYAGCCTTTAGGAGTTAATTCATTTATAATGAATTGTAAGTTTGAATTATTTGTATTCAACCAAGTTTCAGTTAAACATAGCAACTCAATATCATTTTCAATAATAAAGTCATTTATAATCAAAGCTTTATTGCATACAGACCTGTAGTTAATAGAAAACGTTTAGAGCTTCTATGAACATTTGATGATGAAGGAATGCAGCGAGGATAGCATTGATTGTTCGTAGTTATTCCACGATGTGAATTGTTGTGCCTATTCATGGTGTTCAGCCAAGGTGAACGAAGGGACGAATTCTGAATATCTAATGTTGGTAGATCGGGAAATAATTGGTTTTATCAGAAGAATATCATTATCCTTTGCATTATATCGTCCACCACGTTTTCCTCTGAATTGCCGTAGTATTCCAAGAGATTTCATAGTTTCCCAGGTACCAAAATCCAGTGGAAATTGACGATAGCGATGACCAGTAGACGAACAATGGCGGGAAGTTTGAAAACCAGCAGAACATTTCCACCAGAAACAGCGTGATAGTAAAACCTTTCTCGAATAAAAAAGCATAATTTTACAGTAGAGATACTTAGAAAAGAGATTCTAAGAGTAAAAAGCATCAAAAAGTATTCAAATCAAGAATAAACTTCAAAGACATCAAGAGCTGAATTTTTAAGCAGACCGTTATGGCGCTAATATATTCAGGACCAAGAAGAGAAGTTCACGAAATAGAGCGAGCGCAATCCATCATGTGACAGGCGTTCCTCGTAGTGTTTTGGTTTCGGCCGATCCGAATTACGATCGCGTAAGAAGGGAATGACGAGTGTAATAGGAGGGAAGGGAATGACGCTCCGCTCCTCGCAAGATATTCGTCGGTTTTCGGAGTAAATTCGCTATCCCGACTAAAGCAAGGAACGCCTGTCATATAGTGTAGCGCGCGCACGTAAACAAGCACTACAAGGAACGCCTGCTATATCTTAGAACTAGTGCGATAAAATCGAAGATAAACTAACACAATCAAAATTCTAACGTGCTCCCTTGTCTTACGTACATGAAAAGCGGTTTCTTTCGCTTCCTATCGGCAAAGAAAAGAAGACTTAGTTTTAATATTTGTATAGATAATTTATTTAAACATAGGAAATATGAAAAGGAATACATATTTTGCATTCCGAGAGAATTCTTTTCGTATTCAAGCAGTGAGTGCTAAAAGCTATTTTCTTGAAGAAAGGCTGTTGTACAAGGCTTCCTGAGTGTTCATATAAGGCTGTGTAAACAAGAGAAAGCCTTTTAAAGCCTAATAAATAAATAAATAAACAAACAAACAAACAAACAAATAAATAAAAAAAATTGAGTTTATATATATTCTCATGTACATATATTCAATATCTCGTTTTATCTTAATACTCAAGTTATTAATCAATTGTGGCCATGTAAAGGAAGCCAAACCCAGAGTCTATTAATTATTTAATATTACTATCAGGGACTGGGCTGTCATTTACTATTTAAAAGATGATGATAAATAAATAATAAATAAATTAGGCCAGGACTACACCTTTCATGATGCAAATACTTTATTAATGCAATTGGAATTTCGTTTAATTCCCAAATGACGACAATTCATAAATCTCATACTGCATTGCATGCTTAATCTTTAAAAATCTCAAGTGCAAGGGACCTTCTTTAATCTAGTTTGGTAAAAGTTAGTTTAGTTTGCCATAATTCATATTCACAGCCGCGTCACTCACGACTGAATCTTTTCCGCCAGATGGTGGTAACGGCTTCTTTGGGAGAAGTGTGAGAAAATATGAATTCCAGAAGGCCATTCTGAGTGGATGGTATTTGCTGGTCATGACAGAATTTTCCTTGATCTTCAAGTAAGCCTTCTTGGACGAGTCAAAGTTGTCCCATTTCAAACCACGCACACGTCTTGGGGTCGGGTTTCCAAATTTAGCAAAATTGGTAAACATGGTCACTACCATATCGCTGACTTTTTTATCTTTCTTGTCAAACTTTAATCTTGTTTTGGAGTTAAGAAGCGGGAGACCAAACTTGTAGGCTGTTGTATCTTCGTGGATGACGCCCATCCATTCAGGCTTTGGATGGTATCTAGAGCGATGAGCAAACTCAAACATGTAGGTAGGATCACCGTGATCACTATGGATGGTCAAGGCAGCATCGGTTGGAGCAATGAAAAAGTAATCGGACCACATTTCTGTAAGCTTGTGACGGAACATGGCACGGTTGTTGAGGTCATCCCATGGTGTGTATTGAAATTTTAGAGCGTTATAAGCAACGTAGGCCTTATCTTTTTTACAATTGTATTCAATAGGCAGAAAGACATTATCCAGATATTCTCCGAGACCTGTAGAATTGTATGTTGTATTGTAATTTTTTGAATACAAGTCTACAACAAAAGAACCTTCTTGGCTTACAAAGCCTGACATTAAAGGAAGCTTATAGAACTTTCCTCTTTTTCTTAATATTTTTGGTTCGTCTGGCAGAAAGCGCTGGTCGACAAACGGTTGCATCAGCCAATATATCCTGTTATTAAAGAAGGTGGCACTTGAAACTGATTTTAAGCACTGAAGTATTTGTCGACTGGTGGCTTTCGAACAGTTAACCTTCCTGACTAATTCCTTGCTGTATTCTAGAACTGTAGACTTAGGTTTGTGGGCGAAAGGACACAAGTCCACACCACTCACTGCAATACCTCGGTGAAACAGTCCTCTAGACAGAGGTGATAAGTAGTGTAAACCCACACTTGATCCTCCTGCACTTTCACCAAGGAGAGTCACGCTGTTCTTGTCGCCACAAAAACCCTCGATGTTTCGTTGAACCCACTTGAGGGCCTCTACCTGGTCAAGAAGACCCACATTTCCAGGTGCCTCTGAGTCCCCAGTAGTGAAGAATCCAAATGGTCCAAGTCGATACTGGATAGTAACGAGAACCACACCGCGTGTGGGCAAATACTCGCCTGGTGAGGTATCGCGAGTAGGAGAACCTGAAAAATATCCTCCTCCGTGGATATAAAAGATAACTGGGTATTTCTTTTTACCTCTTGTGCTTTGAGTGTAGATGTTCAGGTATAGACAATCTTCGCTCATATCTCTTTTTGGGTCAAATTCAGGCCACGCTCCTCTTATTGAATCAAAGTAATATTCGTCCTGCATACATATTGGTCGTACAGAAGTAGCATCATAATCGCTTGATCTTCGAGTGGAAAGAGCTTGTGGAGGCTTGAAGCGAAGATCGCCAATGGGCTTCTCAACATAAGGAACGCCCAGGAACTTGTAAACGGTTTTTGCTTGTCCGTTATTGGTTTGGATGTCTTGTCGTATTCCCCTGACATAACCCTGTTGGGTTAGGACCCTTCTATGATTCATTTTAGAGCCCAGTACAACTTCATGGAAGAGATGCAGAGTTAGGAACAGAACCACACGCTTGGACAATAACAACATGTTGGTTTTCGAGTGACTGCGGGTGAACTGTACAAGAGCGGTAAGAACACACACTTAAATACCAAGATGCCATTAATTAAAAATTGTTTTATTGATCAACTGTTTAGATGGAAGTGAAGAAAATATTTATTCACCTGTTTCAGAAAAAGAAAGTCAGTTATTATTGCTTTATTAAAATAAGTCAATTAATTCGTTATAACTAAATCAGTTATAATTGCACTATAATTTATATGATTGGCATTTTATAGGGGAAAAGGAAAAAAAAAAAAACTGAGATAAACTAAAATAATGCACTAAATAATAGAAGGAAAAGAGAAAGTCAAGCTGAAATTTAGTATGAGAATGTTTTTTTGTGTGTGTGTGTGTCAAACATCACTCACTAAATGTGTATTGATGCTTGTACTATTGTACAATTGTACTATTGAGTCAATTACGGTTTTTAAAAGGTTTGGATAAAGTTTCTTTGAGCTTTAAGTAGTGGTACTTATTAAGCATGCGTACAGTATGCAAACCATGAGCCTATGGTGTTAATAATGCTAAGCGCGCGTATTTTGTATTTTGCGTATTTAAGATTATTTAGTACAGTTTTCGTAAGACTGTGAAAAGCTCAGTGCCGTAAGCGTGAGGTGCCGTGACCGTGATGCTTTCTAGAATCTTAATTGGCTGATTTTTTTCACGCGCAATGTGATTGGTCTGGCATTGCCGTGACCTTGGCGTGACCGTGTCCGCGCCGTGTTTATGCCGTGTTCCGGGTATTTGATTGGATGGATAGTAAATTCTCGTGTAATGTGATTGGTCTGGCGTATCCCTTGCCGTGTCATGGTCGCGTTCGTGCCGCGAATTTTTCACAGTCATACGAAAACTGCACTATGTGCCGTACGCTGTTTCGGTCCCAAATATTTGATATTAAATAAATATTCTTTTTTTGTTATAAAATGTTATTACGATTTCGAATTCAAACAATAAAGAGATTTTAATATTGCATCAGTCTATTTGCCATTTTTCATATTTCCAATAATGCATTGCGGTTTTGGGAGTAATCAGAGGAAACACCGCACATATTTTTCTGTAGACTGACCAGAAGATGTTGTGAAATCCTATGAAATTTAATCACCAATAATTTGGGTTAAAAGAAGAAGAGAAAAAAAAAAGAAAAAAAAAAAAAAAAAAGAATTCAAATTCTGAAGAAGTCTTTCATTTAAGTTAATTCAATCGTGTATTCGTGCGCATTTTTTCTGCGCGCACTTTTTTTTCATTTTCGAAGTATTCAGTGGTTTGGCTTCCTGTGCTTGAGCTCTTTCAATATGACGAATAAGGCTCTATGTTCAACGTAAAATATCTTAAAATCTTGCTTGGTGACCTAAACCTGATTTTTGTAATGTAAGTCCAAGTTTACTAAGACTACAAAATATCATAAAATGAAGGTAGATTAAAAAACCGTGAAAAATCTGCAAGATTTTATAAGAACCATACGCGTTTTGAGCTTCAACAGGGCAAAGCGCTCAAATTTTGCATGGGACTCTCTATTTTTTAATAGCTTATTTGAATAAACTCCTAAAAATCTAGGTTATGTCAACATTTTAGAGAAAGTTAAATATTCTAACACATGAAAAAATAGATTTTTGTAGGGAATTTTGTTCGACTTTATGAGATTTTTTAAGAGCACCAAAACTACAAAATATAACAAATCAATGTATCTCTTTGTCTTTTTGTTGAAAATATCCACGTATTATTGTAGAATAATTGACTAGCCTTCATTCAGCATTAAATTAAATTAGCAATCAGCATTAAATTTCAATCCGGAAAATCGAAGTTTTAAAAAAAATGTAATATTTTTTCCCATAAGTATATAGGCAGTCACCTTAACCATTGAGAACTGATTCGAACCCATTATATAGCTATTGTTTGAATTTAAATTCCCCTCTCATTCTATTAAAAACAAGAATCCAATTGGCAATAAGATCAATAAATAGCTCTTATCAACCTAGTTCGAGGTCGGTACCGTAAGTTACATATGGACCGAGTTTTTTCCACTGCCTTATGGCCCAAGCGCGTAGCACGCGGGCCATAAAAAAAGTGGGGGGAAACGAGGATCCATAACTTACGGTACGGGCCGAGCAAACGAGGTTAATAAGATATTTATTATATGGCAAGCCACTGAGATTTAAAAGAGGCGAAGCAACAAAAAGTCGGTAAAGTTTTCTGAAATACTAGTTAACAAAGGTGGGGCTTTGTTTTGCTAAACATGTAAATGCAAAGCAAGAAAGGCATGAAAAGAAAACCTAAAGAACTAAAAAAAAAACCTTTGAAATAACATTGTTAGCTTTTAGTGCAAGATCTCTGATTTCTCTATCTGATACTGATGTGAAAGAATTTTAAAGATTGTAAATAGTAGCACTTGCCATCCATCAAGTCGTCCATTTTTGCTTACACAAGTTGTTCAATCGGAGATAAGTGCTCGTCAGCGGTTAGCCGTCAAAACAAACATGGCTTCCGTAGAAACCGGGCTTTAATTAATCGGACTTGAGTTTTTGTTAGCTAACCAGCACAGTAGAATCATTCAGTTGTACTTACAAGACAAAAAATATCCAGCAGAAGAAAAAAAACAAGAGGTGACTATGGTTGAAATATCAGGGCAAAAAGCTCTATTCAAAACTACACGAGAGGAAACGTCACAAAGTACATTGGAGTCTTTGTTCAAAAGTCATTGCAAGACTTACAACTCTCTGTTTCGTGCTTTCAAAGGTTTTCTAGGGGTAGTCCGTAGAGGGGTCCGTAGAGTAGTCCACGGACCGGGGGTCAGCGTTTCCAACATTTCCTGAAGACGGCACACTTTCGACTCAATTAAAAAAGGTACTGCCAACTCACCTGTCCACATTCAATGCATTCAAATTCGAGTGTGGATGAAATATTACTGAGATATGGAAATACTTCAAGAGCAGATGAACCTAGAAAACCGCTTAAGACGTTAACGAAAGAAACTACTGGCTTCTTCACCCAATCCAAAGTTTAATAAAAAGAAGCAAATATGTAATGAATAAACACGTTTGAACCTGTAGTGAATAAAATTATTTTAATCCATAACCACATTTGGTTTGATAGTTCATTTTCGTTGGAGTTTGCCCAGCATATGTTAAACGGGTATTTGTATGGTTCCTTGTAAAATTAAGGTTTTTAAATTTAAATTTCACTTGTGATTTCAAAGTTTTGAAATTGCCCTTATCCAGTTTTGAAATTGCCCTTATCCGCGCTTAGCGACTCGGGCAATTTCAAAACTTTGAAACACTCATCAAATTTTATCCTTAATTTTACTCTGTCCCATACGATTACATGTACAAATTATCTGCCGTTTGAGTCCTCGCTGGTACGACTACGAAAAATATTTGATTTTAAAAAACGTCAACAAACATACGCGTGTTGTTTCAGTTGATTCAGACTTCACTAGTTAGGCCATTAAATTTCCAAGCCGTCAAGATAAATTGACCTTCACGAATTATTGTGTTTCGACCAGCCAGCTGTGTAGAAACAGAAGTTAAACATGGCTGTTAATTGGATGTTCAATTTTGAGTGCCGGGATGATAATTTTTTTATTAAAAATATCCGATTTCTGTTTTCTGAAAATCAGAAATCAGAAATGCAATTGGTGTTGTTGCTTAACAAGATATCTTTTCTACGGGACGAGGGAGTGCAGCTATCAACGTCCTTATTTCTTGTTCGAAAATATCCCCTCCCCTAATGTTTAGTTCAGGACTTATTTGCAAACAGTTCTAGGGGGGTCTGGGTAACCGACTATGGAAAATTTAAAAAAGTAACCACACTTTTGAGCGAAAAAAGTGCTATTTCTCAATGATCGGGTAAAATTTCAAGGCTTTATTTTAAGTTTCAATGATTTTATTGAAATTTTTGAAATAACACATTTCCTTATGGCACACACCACAGAAACCAATCTTGGTCTCCCGCTTCTTAACTCCAAAACAATACTAAAGGTTGACAAGAAAAAAAGTCGGCGTTATAGTGGGACCATGTTTACCAATTTTGCTAAATTTGGAAACCCAACTCCAAGACGTGTACGTGGTTTGAAATGGGACATTTTTGACTCGTCCAAGAAGGCTTACTTGAAGATCCAGAATAATCCTGTCGTGACCAACAAATACCATCCACTCAGAATAGCCTTCTGGAATTCGTATTTCCCAAACTTCTTYCAGAGAAGCCGTTACTATCAATCAGCGGCGGGAAATCATTTTTGAGTGACGAGGCTGTAAATCGTTTAAAACATATATGACTAACTTTGGTCAAATCGGTTAAAACATATTTCCTTGCGCTTTAGATTTTCATATATTAACAACGCAATGTAGTCATCTATTTGTAGTATTGAATGGCAGGCAATTGATTTGAACAAGAGAATATGAACTAAGAGAAGGAATCCCCCTATATAGCCTTGTAACCATCATGTGCACAGTTTGATGCTATTTTTAGCTTGGAGATATTTTGAGCGAAGAACCTGTGATTGTGGTTGATTTCTTTAGGGTAGGCGGCTTCTAGTCTTGCAGTAAACAAAAGCCTGTGTTTTTGTCGCTTTTCGTGTCCTAAAACGAGGCATTAAAGGAAGCATGATTATCGCGCGGGCATGGTAATTAAAGTGCTAAAATTAGCATCAATGATTCTAAAAATAGCATCAAAGTGTGCACATGATGGGGCACGGAGATTCCTTCTCTTAGTTCATTTTCTCTTGATTTGAATTAATAAAAACCTATCGCTCAAGAAAAGTGTAGTCTGTGTCCTATGCTACTACTTTCTCTTTTAAGTCGCTGATGGAGGATGTATACTTGCATTTTAGTTGTGCAGGAGGGTCTTGCCTAGTGGTTTATTTTAAGATCCAAGTAAAAAGGAGATACTCATTACTCCTCTCTGGCTAGTAACTATAATTGGTTGGCTTCTTTTACGTGCTGTCCATAATTAATAGTTAAAACCATTATTAGATAAAATAGATATTGATTAAGTATGTTCGGTGAGCTGTA